AGTTATAAACTTGAACTGTGGTACTAGTTAAATGGAGTACAAACATTAATCATCCCTCACATTGATGATCATGGATAAAGTCAGGAAATATACAAGAAATATCAACATTAATGTCCACTCTGTTCCACATTAATCTACAACTGGTGATACCTTTTCCCTTCACTCTCTGAGAACTGGCACTGTCGAGGTTCCTTGTAGAGTAAATCTTGAGCTGTGTATGCAAATGGACTGGGGCTTCTTTCTGGGGAAATCATAGAGGATGAACCTGCACAATGACTAGATCCTGCAAATGGGCTGGGGCTTCTTCCTGGGAAAATGATAGAGAATGAACCTGCAGAATAAGTAACTGCGGGCTGTCTTTGTGACATGAAGAGTTCCATTAACTTTAATTCATGCTCACGAGCTCGCTGATTTTCCTCTTTGAAAAAATGCATCAGCTGTGTTGTTGGGTCATTATTAACCACTTTTTCAAAAAGCTCCACAGCAGTGGACAAAGCGCTAGAAGAGTTCTGAGATTTGACTTTCTTTCTTCTACCCTTCCTTATAGGCACAAATTGTTTCTTGTCAGAGTCGTCACCTTGGTCAAGACCGTCACTTGATTGCTCATCAGTGGGGGTTCTGTTATCTGATGCTCTTTTCACTGGCTCCCCGTCCGACAACTGCAGTGATGAAGAAGACTCTACTGCCATGTCAGGGTTACATGAATCCCTTGTTTGGACCAGTGGAAATAGTTGATTAAACCAGGCTCCTAGCTGCTTTTCATCTTGAACCCTTTTTACGCCCGTCGAGGTCTTAACAGTCAATGCAATTTTTTTGCACTCAGATATGCATTTCTTAAACTTGTTCCTGAGCTGATCTACGCTAAACGGGAAGCTACCATCTTCATATCTCTGGCCCAAATCTTTGAGCACATTAGCATATATTTCTGCGTTCTTCGAATTTTTCGTGTTCGTGAAAATCAACTTCTTCTTATAGTACTCGCTACTACATATCACATCTACTAAATCATTGACATGTCGCTCTTCCCATACGCTTCTCCGTCCCTTTCGCTTCTTTTTCCTCGAGCTGCACACCTCACTCTGTTCACTGACTCCTGTGTCGGATTCGTTTGAATCAGTCTCTTTGTCGTTATCTGGAGAATAGCTGTCGAATGATGCAGGTGAACATCTTTTTAAAAAAGTTCGGGAAACGTCGGCGGAGCTATTGTCACCGTCGGATTCTTCTTCTCTCAAGCTTTCGGGCAAAACGGGTAGATTTTTGTACCACGACGCCATTTGTCTTTTTTTTTATTAGTGCGCATGCGTAATAGTATGCAAATAATGCAAAATACGTTAAATTAATTTATGAATTGAGTTCGGCGCGACAGTAGCACAACGTTTGAAATCAAGTCGTGCTACTGCCGTGCGGCACGGCAAGGCCTGCCGCGCTAAGTAGTCGTGCCGAACCTAATTCAGCCGTGCCGCGCTTAATGGTTTCAAACGGCGTGCTACTGCCGTGCTTAAATCGAAATTACTATTTCATTTGAGTTCGGCACGGCAGTAGCACGACGTTTGGAACAGGCCTTAGCGACAGTCTTGAAGGTTTGGGCGTTGTCTGACAACCAGCTTTGGTATACCTCGTCTGCAGATGAATCTTTTCAAGCTTCTACTGAATGTGTCCGCGTTCTGGTCTGGTACAAAATCAAGATGAACACTTCTGGAACTTCCACAAGTTTACAACACGATGTCGACCCTCTTAACAACTTTTTCCGTAGAGCCACTCTTAGCGGACAACGGTCCGGCAAAATCGGTTCCAGTGTTGGTGTAGGCAGGATTCCCTTCCACAAGAAATTGAGGCAGGGCGCGGTCGGTGGGATGGCATAATGTTGCCCTTCTATCGTCTTGCAATCCATGCAAGAATCTTCTGAACGACTTGTCTTGTAGCAATCTTGAATGATAACAACGGTTAGGTAGTGATCTGATGGCATGAAAATGAGGAACTTGGCGTTGAATGGAATTTGTAGTCTCCCCTTAACAGGAGCAACTCGTTTTCATCTGTGTACAATCCTAGCCGTTGCTTCAAATTCTTTAAATTTTTGTGACTTGATTAAGGACTGTTGTATTTCGCGGAATCATAGATTTTCTGCGTGCGCATACTCTTCAGTACCGTCTTTTTTCGATAACTCAACCATTTCTTTGACTGGTACTCCTTCTTCTTCGTCGATCCATTCCATTAGCCGTTCAGAACTTGAAATCCACTTCCTCAAATGGAAGCCAGCTTCCTTCATTATTGATCTTGCCTTTGTGTAGAGCTGAAATGCTTCAGGGACGCTGTCTTTTCCCCTCTTGAAGTCATCCCCATGGAGAGAGGTCAGAAAATCGCTCACGAATTGGGGATGATAAGCTTCATACTTGGTTACGTGGTGTCTAATTGTTGCGTTCAGCAGAAAGGGAGAACTTGTGACGCCAAATACGACTCGATTGAAACGTTTCACGAAAATGTTTGGATGTTCGTTATCAGGATCATCTATCCAAAGAAAGCGCAAAACATCTTGGCTAGCTTCTTTGATCCGGACCATCAGGAAGGCTTTTACAATGTCGGCCGCCAAAGCAACACGATGGTACCTGAAACGCATCAGTACATCGGGTATGTCAGCAAGCAATGATGGACCTGCAGGAAGGCAGTCGTTCAACACCGGACCAGCAGACTTGACGGAGCACCATAGACTATCCTCACTTTAGTCGTCTGTTTGTCTCCGCGTATAACTGAATGATGCGGTAAAAAAATCACGTGACCAATTTCGACTGGTTTGTCAGGATCAACATCGGACATTATTCCTGGTGAAGATTGCTCTACAATGATTTGGTTGTATTCTTCAAACAATCCAGGATTCTTTCTAGACATTTTAGGACAGGAGCCAGACGAGAAACAGCTTGGGCGTAGTTATCCGGTACTAATGCGTACTGTTTCTTTCGAGGAAAAGAGATTTAAAAGCGGCCGTTGTTTAGGTGAATAATATCTAAGAACTTCTTATACGCTGTCTCTTGTATTGAGACACCGATAGCTTGTAACTCCCAGAATTTTTTGACTTGTTCCACCGGTGGGTCATAAACTTTCTTGTCGGTAACAGGGTCGTCACACGAGGAAGTGTCTGGCCGCAAAGTATGGCTTGTGACCAAACGACAATCAGTATCTGAACTTGGTGGGTGGGGCATGGGACCAGTGACTAGTGAATGAGAGTAAAATATGTATGACAAACTCAACAGGGGTTGAGCGGGGGCTGAAACGGACGAAAACTCTTTACTTTTTATTTACTACACTGAGAAGGGCTACTCAGAGGTAGGAAGGTCGGTCGGGTTCGTTCCAATCGGCTCGCATGAAGGAATGAATGAATGAATGAATAACTTTATTCAAAGAGGGAGACGCAATAACCTGTTATAGTTTTCTAAGTTACGGCCCTCACAAAAGAGAAAATTTAGAAGACAAAATAAGCAAATAAATATATAAGGTATATCTATCTACAAAATAAACGATATTTAAAGTAGAATAAACTATAAACACGTAATCAAATTGTAAATATATCAATTGACGAAAGAGAGAAATATGTAAAAAAAATCTTAAGACTATAAACAGTGATAAAATTGTAATGTATAAGATCAAGACTTAAAAAGGGAAACTGCAGCCTTTTATATTTATGCCTTTTATGTTTTTTATCCAACAAAATTTAAGCAGTTGTAAGATTTGCTTAAAATGTGTCAAATTACCAGTGTGGACTTCATTCTTCTCAGATGAAGCTGGTAAAAGATAAATAATAAAAATAGATGGCCAAAAGAGAAAGTGCACACTGTCAAAAAGATCACAATAAAGTAACTATGGATGGAAAAATTCGACGTAATTTGGTGTAGTGACTGGTTTTTGATATTTAGAATGATAGTGGCAGGTAAAACACATTGAGGATTTTCTTATTCAACTGCAAGTTAATTCATTTCAGATTTTGGATTATACGTTCAAAATGAGTGAGATTAAATTCATTCATAGATAACATTTCATCATGGTATGTTTACATGGAAAAGTAATTATGACTATAGCTTCACAGATTATTTTCATCACTACTAACATTTAATGAATTTTCATTTAAAATAGAACGTTTCAAGAACTTTCATCCTTTCAATCTATTCAACATCATGTACTGTTTCTGGAGCACAATTAAGCCTTTACAACCCAAAATCCACATGCTTTTTCTTCAATTTGATCTCTGTTACGATGTTCGAGTGTATATAAATGAAGGGTGTGTATATTCGTGTGAAGATAAATGAAGTGTCTGTCATGTTTGCAGGATCTTGGATTAAAAGACAGTTTGAGTGTTGTTGAACAGTTATCTTCCTCGTTTTCTTTCGTTCATTTCCCAATTCTCCATCTGGATAACCATACAATCTCTATACGCTTTGTAAGGTGCTGGCAAGGACAAGTTGTTTAACAGTCTTCAGCTTCTTTAGTTGGTGACCATTTCCTTTAATTTTGTTCACTTAATGTGTGATTCAGGGGATGATTTTGTAAGGAGAAATAACATGCTAGTCACTCTTAGGGTCAATTCGTTAAAGGAACCTTTGATTCAGTTATTTATTTGAATATGTGAGTAACATTTGATGTTTTCCCATGCAACAGGATAGTCCTGCTGAAGATGGCTATGAAATGGAGTGAGCTTGACTGTAACAAAGGTGACCAATTGGAAAACTTAAGCACTTCGTTTTGATAGATCTTGGCTTGTTAATTTGATGATTACAGCTTCCCGACGTAGTTGTAATGTTAGTCCTTATAGAGATGGAAATGTACCTTCCATTGACCTGTAAAGTCATAAATTATGAAACAACTGAAAATATGTATTTGTGGTTGGCAGAACTATTGTTAGTACAGTGCCACCTAGTGACAAAAATTAATGATTTCCTGTAAACATTAATGTATGGAAGAAGTTATGGCAGTAGTTAACTCTTTTTTGTTTGGATGCAGAGAGTTTGATGAATTGTACTCTACATTTTTCAGCTTTCAAACTATCAGCTTTATGTTATTTCTAACTGTTTACTATACTTATTCCTCTATACCTTAAGCCCTCTAGAATTGTAGAAGGCAAGTCTGTAACCTGACTTCCTTTGTTGAGAATTGCATGATTATATAATTTTGTTGTAGTGACCACATTGTAGCATGTAATGTTATTTGGATGTCATTAAATAATCAGGCTTAGCAAGCTTTCAATAGTGCATGGCGTTCTTACAATAATGCTCATACCCAAACTAACCATTGATATAAGAAATTGGTCACAAGATAATTTATAATATTATGTCAGTTTTAACAGGTGGGAATCTGGAAAAGCAAGGATCCTCCTTTGATTATATCTAGGACTGAAATTAAAGGATACCTTCTCATAATTGAAATTCTTCTGTTACGTTTGGGGCACACAGATGAAGAGGAACTTTTTTGTATAATTGGCATCCATGTAATACACAAGGCAAGAATATAAGTGCCTTAGCTTCATGGGCTAAACTTTTCAAATATGAGAGTTGTGCAAACCATATCCTACTTTTTATCCTCCTCTTGATATTTACACAAATAACATAGTCATTATCAGTCTTGCTAGCTCTCACTGTTCATTGAGCTTGTGGAAAGATTGTAAGCACTGTATTTTTTACATGAAGAAAGGAAAGCCTACCCTCTTACAGTGGATTAAGTTCCTTTGTGCATAAGCAAATTTCTATTTTTAAAGCACCTTCTGAAGATCAAAATTTAGTGCCAGACCTAAGGCTGTAGTTCACTACCAATTCTCCAGCTAGGCTAACATTTATAAACAAGTTGTAAAATTGTCCTGATTGCATCATTATCAAGAAAGTTTAACTCAACTTAACCTGACTAAGCTAAACTGACTCAATAGAAACTGAAGTCTACGTGTTCACCTTTTGAGGTGTGCATCAAAGTTTTGTAGTAATGACAGGCTTACATTACATGTTTATAAGAAATCTGCATGTGTACCTAGGTAAAAACAGGAGCTGGGATCCCTGGTCTGTCCCAGGTGGGATCCCCAGTGGGATCCCAAAAATCCCACTTGAGATCCCAATTTGGATTTTGGAATGTCTCAGGTGGGATCATGCCCAGATTTTAAGGCAGGATCCTGTAAATCCCACCTGTGCTGGTGGGAGCCCACCATTCCCACCTGAGATCCCAGATGGGATTAAAGGGATCCCCCCATAAACCAGGCTGCCTTCTTATCTTACCTGGATTGTGACCTCTTGGAATGACTATACTACATGGTGCACACTTACAGGCAGGTATTTCAAACAGTTTTGCTTAGCTTTTACATTTGTACACATTTCTTATTCTAAGAATCTTCTTTATCTGGCCTGCGGCTAATTATAATTTTTCAACCAAATTTGATATATTCTTTTTCTCCTTGCATCAGTTATCAACAGGTCTTTATAATTTTTTTTTAACATGAAATCAAGATTACAGAGTTATGGTACATTCTTTTTTTTCCTGACCCTATTGAAACTTAGGGATTGGTATTGGCTAATATAAAAGTATAGTCAAATAGAAGTGTTGTGCACAGCGTATATGTCAAATTTATGTCATGAAATAGTGCCCTTCCTAAATCTAGCTTATCAGAATAGGAATGAGTTACCATTAGCACAAGTATGGGCTTTTCACAATGATAGTTTCCAGGCTTAAAATAAAAGTCACTTTCCTCATGAACATTTCCCTAAATCTGCTTGCCTGCTAAAATCCTCACTCCCTGGTCCTGACAGATCAACCTGATAAAAAGGAGGAAAAGTACATTAATGACACAAACAACCAAGCTTATTCCCACATGTACACCTTCCTGCATCCTGATAGCTGATACTAAACATGGCATTTCAGACATGGAGTATATGCCACAAATATTCCATTTCCCTGCATAATTATTTCATAATGTTGTTAGAAGTTCTGGAAAATGGTTGGGTTGAAACATATGTCAAAGATTTTCCAGCTTATTACAGCATTGGTGCAAAAATGGAAGACAAACCTGTGCATTCAATGCATAATTTGAGTTTTAACAATTACCCAAATACACAATTTAAAAAAATACCCAAGCCTTATCAAATGACTTCAATGTTTGAATTTTCTCATAGTGAACCAGTGAAAGTCTTTGTAAATGAATCGTTTCTTTAAGATCAATGAAATTTGCTGTTGTCTTTCTTGTTAATATGTTGCCACAATTCCACCTTCCAGGAAATTTATTTTCTGCTAACATGAGAGAATACCATACCAAAGAAAGTATCTTTGTTCAAGACTTAGAATCATCCTCTTTGTCATGGTAAAAGGCTTCTAATTGAACACGGCAAAGGAATTTTTCAACATCTTGATTAACTGAAAATTTACCATGAAAACCTATGTTTAAGTAGTCTATCATGAGAAAGTAAGAAATTCCAAACTATCTACACAAGGCAGTCTGCATAAAGTAACCATATTATCAATATCCTTGGTAGAAGGCAAGAATGGAAAGGGGCATCACGCTTTCCCTTCCATACAAACCTTCTAGGACTACTCTGGGACCTTAAATCACATTAAATTGCCTTAAGTCATCTAAAGTTGCCTAAAGTGACTATTAGTTACACAATGTTGTATGGGCTCCACCCTATTAAATTGATCCCATTCACTTCACTCCCATCATAAGGATCAGAGAAGGAGGCATGGTGGCCAAATGGTTAGTGCACTAGACTCTAGATTAAGCAGTCCTGTTTTGGTCTCTAGTGGGGATCATTGCATTGTGTTCTTAGGCACAATACTAACTCTCAAAGTGTCTCATCTCTTCCAGATGTAAATATGGGTAGTTGTTGGTGGGGAATAACCCTGCAATGGACTGCAAGTCAATATGAGGTTGGTAATGGCTTTCATATTTATACCTGTAAACCTCCTGTTATAAAAGTCATGCACCTGCCTAGCCCCTATGTTAGCATGAGTAACTTCTACTTGTAGACAATACTGATATATGAACTAATTATGACAATGTACTCTCTTCCTTTTTCTTACTCAGACAGCCCTCTATTTAAACCAAATTTCTGTTTTGTATTTCATTTTGAGAAAGTTGATCAAAAGATTGCACCTGTGTATCATCATCAGGAAATAATAAATATTGAAAATATGATTGATCTCAGGAAAAAACACAACAAATGACTGTGGCGGCAATAATTTATTTATTCTTATTTTGAGATGTTACTGAATCAAATCAAACCTACCGTTCCGATCATCAACATAAAACAAAATAGAGAAAGAAGAAAGGCACAATTCTTGCTACTCACTCTTACATCGAGCAGTAAAAATAACATAGTCCGAAGTCAATTGAGCCGAGCTGAAGCATACGTTTAGACACTTAACTTACCCTGAGTAAAAGAGTGACAAAAATGGGCCATTTTTCCAGCATAAACCCGCAAATCTGCACTATAGCTTCTTCCACCATCGTATTCGACAAAATATAAACGTTTGAAATTTGTAACTCGACGAACCCACTTAAGGCATAAATCTTCATCTATCTTAAGATTTTGACAGTCTTTTCGTACTTTTCACCTTCGTCAGTTTGATGATTCACATACATGTATGAGTTCCGTCAATGATCTATGCCGAGAAAACCTCTTTGCTGCAAACATGGCTGCCGGGCCAATATTGGATTAGGATATTTCGTGTTGGCTAAATGACGTAGAAGGATACTTCGCGTGTAAATAAACCATTAGTTTTGTGTGTTCGAGTAATCGGTTTTAATTGAAATCAGTTCGTGTGTGATTGTACGATCATTCTCCTCAATTCGTTTGGCCTTCTTGTGTTTCTCCGAGTTAACAAAGACAATAAACATGGAAACTAGTCAGCACAAAGGTTACTGGGAGAATCAACATGGCGGAGACAAGTGAACCTGTTATCAGTTATTATATAGTTTTTCTTTGTGACTCGTCATTTAGGTAACAACGAATGCTTTTAAACCTGTTATACTGCCATATCAGCTCAAAAATAAAAGTTATTTCATTTTTATTTGGTTAAACGTTGCGGAGTGGAAAAAAGTGAATGCTTGGAAGGTCCTGGTGATCCGACAAACGGTAATAGAGTAAAAAGATCTATAAAGATCTGATTCTCTATTATGGGACGCCAATATTTTTCTACAGCCAGGAAAAGTAGTTGTTGAGACTGGAAAGGAAGGCTTCTTACGAAGGACCTTAGCATATGGTTCTCAATATGGCATTTGGGTGTTTTGTCTTACTGAGGCAGGAGAACATCAAATTGGTTGGGTCCCCGAAAAGGACCAGGCCATTACTGTTGGAAAGGCATGCGATTTGCTAAACTTCCATGCCAGAATTGACAGTATAAGTGCCAAAAAATGGGAGACAAGTTGAGTATTTTTATATTAGTGAAGCTTTATGAAATAGTTAATACGGGTAAATAATCTTAAGTAAGTTTTGTCGATAATTATGTGGAAAATTTATTGTCAGTAGGTGAGTTTTATGTAAATCATGGCTCTTTTCTTAAATTTAAAATTTATCTCGTCATGTGCCTCTTTTTTATAGGTTTGTTTAATATTGGTTTCTGTTTTGATATTATTACACTAGGCATATAACCCATGATTTTCCTTGGTTATTTATACACTAGCTTTGACTATTTATACATATATGTAATTAAACAGTAACTATTGTCATGGTAATTCTGACTAAGCATTTTTAGTTAAAATGGTTTGAAATCTGGATATTTTAGACAATGGTGACTTGTGTGGATACTAAAGTTACCAAAATGATTATTCCATTTATTACACCCATTTTGAAATCACTGGTGGTCCCTGTTATTTGATTGGCTCTAATTGATGGAATTTATTCATGAATCACATCAATTTTTTCTTTAAATCACATCTTTTTCCCAGACAATGAGGCTACTGTAAAAAATAACAGCCAATCAGATTTCAAGGCTTATTTAAAGTAACCAATCAAATTGCAGGAAAATGAAAGACAAAGAGTATCAAGTGGCAAATTTTGCAAATTTTTGTTTCCAAAACTCTTATTTTTGAATTGAAGATGAATTGAAGATGAATTTAATTTCAAACCGGCTCAGTACTGCATCAATAAAATATTTGAACTGACCAAGTACTGTATTTGGGTGATTTCAAAATGGATGTAAGAAAGTGGTGTTTCAGCTCGAATTGCACTCCACTCAGTTTAACACTTGAGTCAAATAAAATCACTGTCAATTTTTCTTAGGTCGCCCAAAGTAGCCCAAAAATTAATAATGTAATACGGTTGAGGACAATCTCAAGGTCAGCTTTGGCTAACCTTAAACTAAGGAATTTTATTTGTAAATGTGCTCTTTCCATGCTTTTCTAAGGATGAATTTGGCCAAGGGTTTAGATGGTAGTGTTACTTAAACCCAGCAAGAGACTAATCATTGTTGTTTATTAATCAGCACACCTGTAATAAGTATCTTAAAGCTATTTCATAGCATTACATGTAAATATGTACATTTTTTGATACAAAATAATCTTAACTCTCTATCAAGAAAAGTATTAATTATAAGCAATATATGTTTGGGGTGAAAGGGGCATTTTTGATAAAGAATAACGTTCTTTCAAGTGGCTAATTAATGCCTGGCACTTTTCACTTTGCACTGCAACAATTCTTAACACAAACAGCTGTGTACTGAAGTCTTTTTAGCACATATTTTCTTTCCTTTGTGAGTGAACCTATGTAGTTTTTTTTAAATCTCTTTGAAACTAGAAATGAATTTACTAAATAGAAATAGAATAAATAGAAAGAGCCTGCTATTGCTAACTTAATGAAAGCATCTAAGGATTACTGTGAAAAGCCCACTTGTTTTTGAATAACAAGAAATGTTTTGCTTTAACTTAAACTCAAAACTGATTAATGACACTCATCTAAAAGTTTATTATGTTATTTCAAGCGATAAATTAGTTCTTTATTCTGTTTACAAGACACATCTACAGTCATAACCGAAATATGCATATATGTAAAATATGGAGACCAAATCCACAAGTGCACTATTCTTTGGATAGAAAAAGTTCTGAGTGTGTAGCCTCCTCTCACTCTGTATCTTTCTTGTTTGGAAGCAAGATTGAATATCGAATTTTCAATATTTGGACGGTCGTAAGTTCTTAACAGGTTTGATTTTCTTGATTTCAGTTAGGCTGACCCAGAATGGTTTTTCCAATTTTAAAGACTTTCTAATGCAAGACACAAAAAGCTTCGCTTGTAAAATGAAACTATTAATCTCTGAAAAGGTGCTATTATTTTCTTTTTGAGCTGATTAAATTTGAAATCTGGGTATTTCGTTAAAGCGCTACTTCAAATTCTAGTCTAGCTGCATTTTTAACGTCGCCTTCTACCTCCACCGTTGCAGCGTCGTCGTCATCCTCATCGATCCCCATGTTTTGAATTCCTTTCTCAGCTTCATTTGTCTGTATCTGCTGGTTGGCTGGTTTTTCATTGAGTGAGATGTCGGCTTCTTTTTTTGAGTTTGAGTTTTGTGGCGGCTGAAATGATGTATCCCCGGAAGATTTCACCGCTTCCAAGAAACCATTGGTGTTGGTAATATTATCTGTCGTGTCTGTGCTTCCAAGTTTTTCACTTGTGTCCATTACTGAGGGACGTCTTATAAGAGCGGGTCTCCAGCACAGCAAAGACAGATAAACAGGCATGATGCACAAGCCATGAAGAAGCCCGAGCATGACGATGCCAAAGAACATTCTGAAGAAAATTCGGAATATCTCGGATGCAGCAAATGCAAGTACAACCATACCAAGGAACGTACTGACTCCTAAAACATATCAAGAAGAAAAGATCAGCGGATGCAGCGACGTGCATAACACTAAAAACTTAAGTGATGGAAGTTACTAAAAGCAGAAATTAATCTCACTTAAAGTGGTTCCTTTAATAATTCTAAGGATGGATTTTTTAATCAACCGCGGCACATGCGAGAAATTTTGATTTTATCAACTGAGTTGATAAAGACCATTAGACACTGTAAAGAGATTATGGAGCTGATGTTTTGAGCGTTAGCCCTTCGTTGGAGAAGATTGGCTCAAAACATCAGTTCCATAATTTATTTAGGGTGACCAATTTCCATTATCAACTCAATAGATCCAAATTTTCTTCTAATACCTCTCACTGAGACAGGGCCACAGACTTTTAAACTTGTTATACACTCCAGAAACACAAGAATGTCAATATGTTTGTAAATGCTTACTTTTCTCAGCCATGTTTTACAACAATTAATTTAGCTTCTGACGTACCTCCCATGAAAACACTTGCACCCAACGTGCTCAGAGCATCCACAACTCGCTCATCGGCTGTGACTTTGCTTGACGTAATGTAAGCATGGGCAATGTGGGCACTGTAGTCAACTGCAAATCCGATGGCCATTACCAGGTTAATCATGGAAACAGAATTCAGAGACACATCCCAGATTACCATCAAACCAAATAACTCGCAAACCAGTGCTGCGAAGTTAAGCACCACCACGAACGTCACAGTAAAATCCATCAAAAAGGGGCTTGTGACAATTACCACCGTTAAGCCTGCGATTATCAGGTTTCTCAGGGTCTCGCGTGACGTAATTGCGTATTGTTCAAAGAATATAAAGGATCGAGTGATTGGAAAGGCATTCAGTTTGGACTTCTTTGATATGTCTTCACGGAGTGTGAGCATAGCGTTTTTCTGGAAGGTGGAGCTACCCGAATCCTTCATATAGCCTATTACGCGAGAAGCTTCTATTTTCGTCTCATCCTCGGATAACTTCACGTCCTGTGTGAAATACGAGAACTCGGGAATACGAAGAAATGTTTTCAATTCTCGTAGAAAACCTGGGCCAGTAATGTTTCTCTTCGACTTCTTAGCATACTGGGCAAATGCATCCATCCAGGATAGTGATTGGTTCTTGTAATATTCATTTTCCTTGAATATGTTCGTTAATTCTTTAATGTCGCTCTGCGTGGACCTCAATTGGTAATCAACCTCACCAGTCTGCACGATACTCACTCCAATGGACAGCTCAAAGTACTTTCCTTGAGCTGTCAAAAACTGCCTCAAGTAGGAATCATCTCTGGCCAATACACGTCTATCAAATGACTCATCCACCTGAGTGACTCCATATATCCCAGCACCAAGCAGTGACAGAGAGAAGAGTATAACCAGAACTTTTGTAATTGGAAGGGTCAATAATGTGCCCCAGTAATTCATAACTTTATTTGAAGTTTGGGGGAGAGGCTCATCCCATGCTGGTTTACCTTCTTTTGGCCGTGGTGCCAGGCAGAATGGGAGGAAATCTCGGCGGCCAGATTTAATTCGTCTAACGTCGTATGTCATAAGGGCCACAAAGAATGTGACAACCATCAGGAAGGAGAACGTCACTGTCAAGGCAGCATAAACACAGAAATACCTGAGAAAAGAAAGTAACTAAGTTTTAATATAGACGATCTCACTGAAATACTCTACAACATTTGACGAAATTTTAGAACTTGGAAGCCAATTAAGTGACATTTCACGCCACCATTTGTGCTTACAGCTCAGTCATACAAGGGAAAAAAAGATATCCCAAGAAACTATAACCATTTTTATCAGAAAATCAATTCATTGCCTCCTGTCACAGCTCGACATCTCACTTCAATAGTTTGCAGTTGAGGTTTTAAAAGAAATCAATAGAGGTCACTTGATAAATCCGGATCCTTTAAACAATTACGCCATTGCTTAAAACCTGATGTTATTGTCTTCATCTTCCCAAGATGAAGAAGCACTGGCTATCAATTGAAGTATCTTACCTAATGGCGGGAAATGAGGTAGACGTGCTGACCGCAAACGCAACCAAATCAGTCATAGTTGTCATAGTAACTGTTGCACCAGAATGCTTCATAACCGCTTTGATCTTTCCGGTCGTCGACAGGTCACGTGGCTGCCGATCAAGCTCGTCGACCATGATGAACATGTCATCGATGCCGATTCCAAGAACCAAGAAAGGTAGCACCCCCACCAAACTAACAAAAGGTACACGGAGCCACATACCAAGGCCGAGCCCAGACAAAATCCCAAGGGCAACTGCGAAGACCCCTCCATTAGCAAGTAAAGCATGACCAGTCAACGGATTAAGGTACTTGCCCAGCATGAAGCAAGCAAAAGAGATCATGCAGGTGAATGTGATTGACACCAGTTTAACATCAGACCCGGTACTTGCACTTATAGCATCATCCAGGCTCCTTTCACTTGAATAATGGACATCGAAGCACGAAAGTTTGTCCACTAGCGAGCCTAGTTTGTCAATGAAAGCCTTCTCCCATTTGAGAATCTTGTCACTCTCATCATCGTCCCTCGGATCACGAAGGAGATAAATCATTTGCAAAGCTTTGGCGTTGGTTATGCTTCCATGTTTTCGAGTGGCCTTGCCAAACATTCGGTTGAAATTCAACCAGAATGGGCGTCCATTACGCATGAGTAAACTTGTGTCGTTGTAGGATTTGCTCAGTTCCCGTTGGACATCATGTAAGTCCTTTCCGTTCAAGTTGCTTTCATTGAACTGCAAAAATTCTAGTGGATTAATCATCGCACATCCGTTTGTTGACCTGGATTTGTTTCCCGACAACGTGACACAGAGGTCTGAAAACGATTTCAGCTCCATGACTGCATCGTGAGCTCTGAAGGCCTGTTTCAAACACATCGGGGAAAGAGGATTAGGATTACTGGGAGAGGCCACCAGTAGGATGATTTCCTCTCGAAAGTCGACTCGGAAGTATCTCTCGGCAGTCTCCAAGTCGTCTATTGCCTTGCTGTTTTGAGGGATGAACAGTTTTACGGTTCTGTTTTCTGAATTGAACCAAACAAAGCCCACAGAACAGACGCTGACAAGTATGAGACACAACTGGATTGTTATCAGCGGATGTTTGGCGATCCCTGTACCATACCAGCCAAAGAAGCGTTCCAAAAAACGCAAATACCATTTGCAGAGTGAGGACCACAGATGACATGGAAGAAACCGGCGTGGATAGCAGGGTCTAGAAAAAAAACACACATCGAAAAGTGAATTTTGATATAGGTTTTTGAAGCATTAATTGGAGGAGAGTTGTCTATCAGCCCCAAAATATTTGAAACATTTCCTCAAACGCTCTTCCCCTCGACCTGAAGATTTTCAGCAGGTCTGATTGTGCAGGGTGCATCAAACATGGCAAGACATGATCTAGCCAACGGCTCTCTCATCGTGTTTTTTGCTATTTTTTAAATTTCTTTTCTGGCATTAAACAATACCACTGTATTACAGATGACAAAGGATTACAAAGAAAAAGAATAAATCCAAGGAATACCTTGAACTTGCCACAGAAAGAAATGGAAAGACAAATAGCATATAATGCACACAGCTTGCTAAATAGATTTTACGACACGTGTAAATCTTATTTATGGCATAGCCATGAGCCAGCCACCCTTTGGGTCTGATCAGCGGTTGACAGCAATTTATCAATCAATGTACTATTTGATGCTTTACCTCAAAGTTTTAGTCGCAGAAGTGCCTCGAGTTCACTATACGACCCAAAATGAGAGGCAAAACCTTAGATGGGATAAGTATCTAAAGAAACTGTGGTGCTGTCTTTGTGTTGTTATAACCATCATACTTCATTATTACGTAAACCTTGACCGAAAAGACGAGAATTGTTTCCGAGCGAAATTAAGAACTACCATTCGATCAGTTCCCTATCGAACTCTGAATCCTCTGACTACCAGAATTTTACCGTACAAATACCTAAAATCATCGAAGTCTTCCTCAACGTTCGCCCTCTCATCGAATCCTTTGCTTAAATTATTTTCTTCGCTTTGTGTCATCCTTTTTTCGGTTTTTCTGTAACTCCGAATATTTTGTTGCTGCACATCGCGTTCATCGAGATATTCCCACTTCCTTCTCGAATAAAAGCTTTCTCTAGAACATTTTTAATTAGTAATAGCAAAACAGGTTGTTGTGTAGTATGAAACATCACGTACGCACACGTACTATTTCCTTTGTCAAAACAAAAAAGCAGATAAAAGTGTCAGATAAACCAGAATTTAACATCGAAGGTGTCAACTTCCTTATATTCACGAGTGAAGCTAACACGTTTTTGAATCGCAACGTAAACAAACTGACCGCTTGGTAGTTTTTGTTTTAATCAAATAACAGCAGAACTATTCGTTCTCGAAACTTTCATTCCATCCTGAATTTGTTATCACTGACACCTGAAGAGAAGACCGTCACGTTGCAACATCGTTTGAGTCACGTTTACCTCGAGTATTAGAATTTAAGGGGGGCGGGGGTAAGTTTCTAAAGAAACTGTAGTGCTGCGTCGGTGAGAGTAACGAGGTAATTTTGGTTTTATGGACTGAGTTGATAATGTAAATTGGCCACCGTAAAGAGTTTCAAAGCCGACGTTTCAAGCGTTAGCCCTTCGTGAGAGGGAATCATTCGCTCTGACGAAGGGCTAACGCTCGAAACAAATACCTAAATTCATCGAAGTCTTCTTCAACGTTCGCCCTCTCATCGAATCCTTTGCTTAAATTATTTTCTTCGCTTTGTGTCATCCTTTTTTCGGTTTTTCTGTAACTCCGAATATTTTGTTGCTGCACATCGCGTTCATCGAGATATTCCCTCTTCCTTCTCGAATAAAAGCTTTCTCTGGAACATTTTTTAATTAGTAACAGCAAAACAGAAAGTTGTGTAGTTTGAAACATCACGTACGCACACGTCCTATTTCCTTTGTCAAAATAAACAAGCAGATAAAAGTGACAGATGAACCAGGATTTAACATCGAAGGTGTCCACTTCCTTATATTCACGAGTGAAGCTAACACGTTTCTGAATCGCAACGTAAACAAACTCACCGCTTGGTAGTTTTTGTTTTAATCAAATAACAGCAGAACTAATGGTTCTCGAAACTTTCATTCCATCCTGAATTTATTATCACTGACACCTGAAGAGAAGAACGTCACGTTGCGCCATCGTTCGAGTCACGTTTACCTCGAGTATTAGAATTTAAGGAGGGCAGGGGTAAGTTTCTAAAGAAACTGTAGTGCTGCGTCGATGAGAGTAACGAGGTAATTTTGGTTTTATGGACTGAGTTGATAATGTAAATTGGCCACCGTAAAGAGTTTCAAAGCCGACGTTTCGAGCGTTAGCCCTTCGTGAGAGCGAATCATTCGCTCTGACGAAGGGCTAACGCTCGAAACGTCGGCTTTGAAACTGTATTATATTTTTAAGTTTGCAAGCATAATTGTTTTAATCCGTTTTTGATTGTGGGAACTTGAAGCGATCCAAATCATGATCACGATCATGATTAAGGTATGTAAGATGCAGCTGATGGACGTAGGTTGCAGTTATCCGAATATTCTTAGACAAACGATTTGTACAAGAAATAAAGGCCTTTTTTTCCGATGCTTTGTTGTTATTTTCCTGTTCAATCGAAAACGGCGAACTTACACGTTTTGTAATATTTCACACGTACAAAAATGTATTTTCTCCCTCACGATGATATATCTTCGTTGATGCTAGTTGCTTGCAACTGTCACGCTATCGGCTAGTCTCTGATTGGATGATAGATAGGAACAATCCAATCAGAAGGAAGGACACGGAAAGTAGTAATCGCTTTTCCGACATATGTGTTCGGTTTCTTTACATGCAAGAACCAAACGAGCAAACCAAAATGAGTATGGTAGGCAATTGCCGAGCAATATTTCGAAGTTGAGGGAAATATGCTGTAAAGGACATTTCCACATTGGCAATAATTCGTGGGAGGAATTCCTATTTATTCAACGATTATTCGCCGCAAGGAAAACGTATACTGCCGACTTGTTATTTGTTCTCTTTGAGTTTCTGCCTCAGAGACTTCAAACATCGCGTGGTGGCTATTTTTATGTCACCTTGTGCTGGGCAATAACGGCAAGAAATAAAGTAATCCTCGCACAAACATTCACTACCTTCGAAAATCCAATATTCCATGGAGAAAAACGGGTGCTCTGTAGGAAACTTTATCATTTACCAACAACATAATCATCTATAATATTAATCAAACTAAAGTTAAAAAACTCTACCCACCTTGATTGGTCTGATTTCTTAACTTGTTCGAGTTCTGATTTGAATTTGCCCATGATGGAGCGAAAGTGACTTCAACACTAGTGCTAGTCTTGCTAAAAATTAACTGATGAGTCCGACTCCTCTGGTTTATATGCTTTCGGTGCACGTGCCAAATGACAATGTTGCGCTTCAGCGCTCGACAAAGTAATTATTTTTAGCTCACACCGGAAGTTTTAAAGTCCATTATCCGCTCCCCATGACATGGACATGGTGATTCCGAGTGGAATCTCTACCTTAAAATATACGGAAGGTCATCATTTTTTTACTTTTGTCATGCGGCTTTTCAACTAACCTTTTCACAGCACTGTGGTGATTGGAAATTACGTAATTTTATGTAGCTAGCAGTCTAGTATAAATATATCTGTAAAGTTGTCCACGTTATCTAGGTTAGGTTAAGTTTAGCAAGTGAGTAGTTGTGTATCTAGCGATTTAAGTTTTTTCCACGTTCTTTTTAAGCGTTTATCTGCGCTCCATTCAAACACAAGAAGCACCAAACGTGATTTAAAGGAAAGAAACCTTTATCTGCTTTCGCACCACGTTTTTACAAAATAAAAATAAATTTAGAAAGTGATAGATGCATTTTGTTTACAAGGAAAGAACGGAAGTTCTGCATCGAAGTCGAGTAGTACGTGACATTTCCTTTAGAAATCATTGGAAATTATGTGTCATTGTTCGGTGTGAACGCTTCTTTCCATCTTTTCACTCTTTTTAGTAGACTTTAATGAGTTGCAAGTCTTTTCCTTCCGTAACGCGGGAGTCAAGTTAAGCGCAGCTGTGAAATGTTTCCCGGCGCTCGAATTGTTCAACCAAATAATTCGTGTGACTCAGACACCCAAAATTAACTTATTTCCTGACACGTGCGAATGATTTTTTTGCCCTTAATCCCGAATTTAAAGTATCATAACTTGCATATCTTTCTCAGAGAAAATCACGTTCGCCGCACTTTGGGCGGCGTGAACCAGAGTTAGAGATTTCGTGGACTTTACCGATTTTCTTTAAAGACAAGTTTGTTACTCTATGCATATTGTTAGCTTCTTTTGAAAGTCAGAAGAGTCTCAGTATTCATGGATCATTAAGAACGCAAATGAATAAATTGAATTCGCAGTGTTATCCCTGGCTTTTATGAGCCCGATAACACATTACAGAAAGAGAAAGCGCGGACCATGCTGCTTCTTTCTTAGGGATCAAGCTCGCCAATTGAATTGCTTGTGGGCAATATATCAGGAGGATGAACCGTTTATTCGTGCAGCAAAAATCAAGCAAGAGGCACAAACCAAATTTTCACTTTATTAAGAGATCGATTCATCGGTTGATTAACTTGACCGTGGATAACAAACCTTTCTTGCATAGTCCACAGACTAGACACTGAATGGTGTTTAGGGAGTACATATCCAAGAAATAAAATGTGGTCGTTACCATACGCTGTGAACAGTCAATTTTTCCCCTGAAGCAAACATGAAAAGCATACGACGTTTGTGATTACCCGCCTCCAGCACAAAAATGTGATTTGATTCGATTCCCTTCAACTTCCCTTTCAAATTAAGTTGTTTTGCCAGTTAACGAAGAGTATCATTCGGGATTAAAATATTTCGCACAGTAAATTTCCTTACAGCTATCGCATTGTGTTTGGAAATAATAACAAACAATAGAGCGGACTTGTCAGGAAATACTGAAGAGAGGCGCGTACTTCTCACTTACCTTTCTTGAGTAAATGAGGGGGAAATGTGTGCTTACAGCAAATGAATTGATCCATATTAGACCTAATAGGACGTTCCAGAACATAAAATGCACACTGACATGTTACCAAAAGTGAAATTAAACCTACATTGGGAAATTCAGCAGCAAAATAGACGCTTATTTTTCATGGAGCGGCCC